TCCCTTCGGGAGATTACTCTCACTATTTACTCTGTTGCTATCAGGCTGTGTATTTGCCCCACTGTTCCTAGTCCCGCCAGCTGGGCAAAGTAACCCCACCAGCTCAGTTTATGGATATACTGATGGGTTTTGGGGGCTGGAATGTTTTAGGATGGCATCGGTCTGTTTGGGAGGGTCTCTCCTTGAGTCCGTGAGTTCACTCCTGAAGCAGGCCGAAAGGAGACTGTAGAGAAGGAACCAGAGAAAAGAAAAAGATGAATGTACAGGACCCTTCACCAGCCACCACAAGAGAAACAGTCACTTTCCACCTTCATGATCACAGTATGGGCTTTGAAGGAGGGGAAAAGCAGATGTCTTAGCACCTACAGCGAGGGTATGCGACAGGGAGATTTAGAAAGCTGGAAAACCCCAGGTACAAGTGAATGCTTGGCAAGGAAGAGAAAACAACTAGTTGATAGGGAAATCCGATTTCTGTGTCCCAGTCTCATGGGTGCAAATGGTGCTCCCATACTGTTCCCAGCGACAAATACAAGAGGAAAAAAGCACTCAGTCAAAGGGGAAAAGGAGAGAAGCAGCCTCCATTGAGCCCACCTCAAACGTCAATTACTTAAAAAACAGAAGCTGGTGCTAGGGAGAGAGGATGGCGTCTACTGTGAAAGGGTCATATTGATTACATCTCAACAAAGCTGGGGGACTCTCTGCACTAAAGCCAAGGGGTCCCTGGGGCCACCAGCTGATGTGGAAGGCACTGCACTCTTGGAGTCAGCAAAGCAACGCAGCACTTCTTCATATACCTAATCCTACACTTTTTCGTGCTTACTTTCATCGTGGCAATTCTCTAGTGAGAATGCTATCCAAGTGCCTGGAGTTCACAACACATGCAAGCACAGCACTACAAAACCAAACCAAACCATGCAAAAATCCACTATTAGCTTCCACACCAAAAATGAGAATAACTAGGTGGAGATATGAAGAATACCTTCCCCACCAGCCCCCTCCCCGTGACAGCAAGCGCCAGTACCCTTGCAGCTCCCATCTCAGCTGGAGCACTCCAGGCACTGGATAGCTCGACTTTGTCATACCTCACTTGCAAGGTTAATTCCCTCTCATCTGGATAACGAGCTGTGCAGCTCACTAGACTGAAAGGCAGCCAGTGGGCTGGTAGCTGCAACCCTGCTGATATGAGAGAAATGTTTGCTGGGATATAAGAGCTTGCTGGGACATAAGAGCCCTCTTCTTGGTAGCCGCTGGAAGACTTTGTGAAATCCCTTCAATCATGCTATGGCCAATTCAAAGAGAGACTGTTCTGAAAACAGCACTCAGCAGGGTGACACTCACCATGGGAAATTTTGTTGATGTTTTCCAGTGAAACCCTTAGAGACTGTGCAGATACTCCCTGGGAATATTGATGGTAAATGTATTTCACGGTAGAGTATTGAAGAAACTTTCCCTCCCCTCTGGTATCTCTGGCAGCAGGGATCTTCTGGCAAATCCATGTTTTAAACAACGGTGGCAGACCATGAAAAGGAAGTCTTCTAAATAAACATGTGTGCTGCTGTTCAAATATGGGCCCCAGGATTTGGCAGTGAAAAAGGAAGAACAGAAACTGCAGCTGAAAAAAAACTTCCCACCTATGATCATGAAGGTATTTGGCATAACAGTAAATAAGAGAAAACCATGCACAAAGGAGCAAACAGAGAGAGGAGATGAGACAGAGAAAGATTGTGGTCTGGCGCAATGTGGAGCATTGTAGTATTTTTGGTTATCTTGTGGGACACAAAGCTCTCCGCTTGTCACCAGATTTGTCCTTTTTATTCCAGAACAGTAAGACAGTTGCATCTGCTGGCCTGCCAAATGCCATGCTGGTCTTTATGTGCACGAGAGCAATTATACAATTGTCTTCCAAAATGACAAATTTATTTTTTTAAAGCTATCTTTCACCATAATAATCTCATCTTTGCTTTTCCTATTCTTCAAAAATGATGAAGCTTTCCATGTTGTAGTGATTAAAGGGAAACTTCTTCCCACACACCTAGACAGCTTTTCTATGTTAACTACTGCTCAGAAAAGTAAACTGAAAAAATAAAACAATTCCTCCATCAAGGCTTGACTGTGGAGCACACGTGGATGCAGCTCCATTTTGGGAATAAAGAGCCAAAGGCAACTCACAAACATCCTGGCCACACAGAGCCCTGCTAGGACCTACAGCTTCCTACACATTCAAACCTGGTCACTGCATACGCACTTTCCTAGCTCCCAGTTTTAACACACGCTTTGAATGAAAGCAAGCTGAGACTCAGTTTTGAAAGTACATCCCTACTTATAAAGCAAAAGGCATTTTCTTTGCCTTTGGCTTTAAACTAAAGGGGGGTAGATTTAGACTAGACATAAGGAAGAAATTTTTTATGCTAAGAGTGGTGACACACTGGAGGAGGTTGCCCAGAGAGGTGGTGGATGCCCCATCCCTGGAAACATTCAAGGTCAGGTTGGACAAGGCCCTGAGCAACCTGATCTAGTTGAAGATGTCCCTGCCCATGGCAGGGGGGTTGGACTAGATGACCTTTAGAGGTCCCTTCCAACCCAAACTATTCTATGATTCTTTTAAAGCCAGAACAGACCCACAAAGGAGTCACTGTGCTGCTGAGTTTGGCCAGCCTGGCAAGGAAGCAGTGGCAGGACATCTCCCAGCAGCATGCAGTTCGCTGAACCTGCTCGCATGCAAGGTTGCTCTTACCCAAACCAGTTCCTACAAAGCGTCTTCTCTCCCCATTCTCACATCGAGACCTGAAGCTCCTTTACGATTCTTTTTTGGGGTGCAATTGCATCTATGAGTCTTTTCAGCCTAAATGCCCCTTAGGCCTGAACTCATTCCTTCAGAAATTAAGTCATACCCTGAATTATCGAGGAAAAAGCACTAGAACCCAGCCGCACCTAAGAAGCTATTGCTTGAACATGCATTTCAGCACAGGGGACCCTGTTTGATGGCAGGCTGTCGGCAGAGACAACTGCAGCAGCTCTGGACAAACACTGAAAGTTATTTTTCTCCCCACTCCTGGCATCCTTAGAAGCTCTTAATCTTTCTCCCCAGTATCTGAGCACACTCAGCAGCTGAGAAAAATCAGTATATAACTGGACAAGTGCCAGGAGACATGCTAAAAGAAGTTTCATTAAATTAAATGGCTGGACACATACACGCTGGTCTTAAAGGTAACACAAATACCAACCTCAGTTGCCAGGAACCCATCCTATTGATATAGGAAGAATGAAAACAGTCATTATGGCAAAGCAACTGTCAGCACCAAGTGAAAGCTGTCATCTGCTGCCGTCCATTTCTGCTTACAAAACCATTTCTCAGCTGAAATGGCTGTAGTTCAGGTGGAGCTTTCAGGACATGCAGCTGAGCGCACAAAGGCCGCAATGCCTAGCAGCTAGTAAATACAAGCTATAGTATATAGAAACAGTGCAGATGACTGATAAAATTCTCATTATTATTAAAGTACCTCAAAAAAAAAAAAGTCCAGAGCCCCTGGATGCTCCAGCCATTTTGGCAGAAGGCTTTTTTCACACCTCCACAAGACTCCAGCTGACACTAAAACCACACAGGTTGAAATGTGAACACATGCAGAGATCTGGCAGAAAGCCGTGGTATTGCAGAAGTCCTGAGACAAGGCCAAGGCACTGAAATAAATCCCTACAGGCTCAAGTGGGACTTACGTGGTGCCTTGGCCTCGTGCTAACCTCTGCAGAGGAATGAGTTATACCCACAGCCTCTTGACGCGTGAGCTTACCAGGAGGAACGCATGAGATCCTAAGCACTACCGCTGGTGGCTACCTACAGCCCGAGCGGCTATTTTCTGTCACCCGATACAGCAGGTGAAGCAATGGCCATGAATGACACTGCTTACAGTCTGTCTGGGAAGTCATTCTCTGACCCAGTCTCTGTAACTGCAAAGCTTTGGGAACAGAGGGGAAAATGGAAACCAAACACTTATTTGGCCCTTCTTCTCCCCATCCTCCTGCCACTTACACCACCCAGAATAATCCTGGTGCAGCCCTGCCAGCCAAGTTCAGACAGGGACTATGTCTGCCTGGATGGAAAGTTTCTCATGCGCAATGCGGAGAGTCAGTGACAAAGTATAGTTTTTAAAAACACTTTAAAAGTGCACACGTAGAGTCTTTCTTTGAAGTGCCCACTGGTCACAAAGCAGTTCTTACATGCTTCATCCTTGCTCATGGATTTTCAGCTTCCCTTTTTATAGCTGAGGAACCTATAGTATTTATACCCCACTGAGACACCAGCCCTCCAACAGCATCAGAAATGCACAGCAGTGGGATCTGAGCGCTCGGCCGAGCCAGTGCTCACAGTCCTGGCTTCACATGCTCTTGGCAAGATGCTCAGGTGGACACCCTCGAGAAGGTGTGGAGAGGGCTCCACGTTCACTGCTGTTCCCACAGAGCAGGTGAGAGAAGAGCACACCCCCCCTGCGCTCCCCAGCTGGGACACACATGTGCATTGGGTTTCTGTCTGCAGGCTGTTCAACAGCACTTGCTGTGCCTTGGGCTCCGGCTGGAAGTCAGGAACGAGGCGCTGAGCCTGTCATTCACCCTCCAAGGCCAAAAGGTGAGCTGTGTGGGACAAGAGACTAGAGAGGGACCTTGCAAGCAGTCAGGATGTGCACTTGGGGAAGGAGGACTGCTTTGTCCCATTGTGGAGGTCGTGAAATCTGAATCTCAGACTCATGATCTCTCAAGCTCTGGTCCAGAAACTCGGTTTTGGCCAAACTCCTGGCATCAATTTCTACCAGCTCTGACCAGGGGGTTAACAAGCAGCTATGTTGTTGGAAAGGATTTTGCCAATGCAGTACTCTATGAGTGCTTGGCCCTCGGTTGAGTACCACATCCCTATGAACAACTGTGCAGAAGCCTTCTGTGTCTCTCTCCTCTCTCCCCCTTCACACCATCCTCACTGCACAGGTCACTGCAAGCACACTCATACTCACTGCTTCTGGAGCAAGTGCTGGTGCTGCTGCTGCTGCTGCTGCCGGTAGGTCTCAATCGTGTGCTGGGGAAGGTACTGCATCAGTTCCAGGGACTCTTTGATCTTTAGTAGCATTTCATATGTCTCCCGTCCCCTCACCTGCATCACGGGAAAAAGAAAAGAGGGAAAAGAAAAGTCTTAAAGGACGGCATCTATAGTGACAGCCACCTTAGTGAGTTTTAGATAAAGTCACGTAAACAACCAGAGCAGAATGCAAATAGTCTGTTTACACTCTATGCATATGCAATAAAACCGCTAAGCCTTGTGCTAGAGGTACAGCAGATAATGTTGAAGAGCAATAATCTAACACTGCAGGCTAATGAACATCTTGGGGTTGTCATCTGACTCGATGTAAATCTGTGCCAACCAAAAGCAATATTCTGATCCAATCTGTTAGACAGAAAATGTCTTTACCTGCCTCAGATGTAAGCAAATCTGGTGCTGAATCTTACATGCCTTGAGGAAAAAAAAAGAGTACTTGAATTTGGGTGTTGGGTTTGGATCTCCCTTTTCCTCTAAGCACACCGTGGTTTGCGATTTATCCAACTAAATGTGGCTCATGGGGAAGCAGCTAAACGGCCAATTACAGATACTTCTTGCTCTTTCTGATCCTACACTTAATACAGTGTATTTCAATTCTCTCACTCCACAACAGTTGTAATACATACAAAAACCAAAGAAACATCCACCTTTGTCAGCAAGACAACACCAATTAGCTCCAGAGAAAGCTCAAGTGCCACAGAGCCAGAAATGACAGATGAGGAAACCCAGTTAGGTCTCCAAAACAATATTTCCACCAGGACAGACAGATTACTTGGGATATTCTCATATGCCTTGCACAAAGCACTCCCAGTCAGCAGCTAATAGGATTTTTTTCTTTTTTTTTTTTTTCCCCCTTGGAATATGGTTTTAAAATAGATAGCTCTGGGGATTAAAAAAAAAAAAAAAAAAAAAAAGATATTCCACATCCCATCCCCATCCTCAGTTCTCTTTGAGGTCTAGGTGAGCAGCTGACTTGCCTCAAGGCACTGAGGAAGATACTAAACACAGGATAAATGCAAAGAGAGAGAGAGAACTCACCGGCAAGTATAAGAGCTCATCATCTGGGGAACGTCTTTTTTTGATAGATGTCATCTGTATGCCATGAGTTCCTTGTCGAAAAGCTGGAAGAGAAACCCCACAAGCATCCCATTAAAAAAAAAAAAAAAAAAAAGAAAAAAAAAGGAAGCTGGGGGGGAAGAGAGAGAGATACAAAAGAGAGACATGAAGTGCATGGCCAGCTCAAATCCACAGTGCTCTGACAGGGTCTCTGCCTGAGCCACTCCAGAACTTGCTTGCAGCTCCTGGCTCCTTAAGGCAGACACGACTTTGCAGATGTTGGGTGGCCATATGGCTTGGGGAAACACGTCAGCCAAGGAGCAGTGGGTATATGGCAAAACCCCAGCAAACCATACCTAGAACAAGCACTGGCTCTTTGCAGGAAAGACTGTGAGCTTTGGTATATAGTCCTCACGAGCTGTCAGTGGATCAGTGATCCACAAAGACGAGACAGCAGGCAGGGAGCACGCAGAATTCACTGCGAAAACAAAGCCCCACTCCAATCTGCCTCCTGTCAAAACCTGCTGCCTTGCTGTTCAGCCTAGTGCCATCACCGAACATATGCAGAAAACCAAAGCTGGGTTTCCACATCTTGCATGTCTGATGAGTACGTTGCAATCCTTAGAGTACAGAGAGAGGCCACTTGCCAGAGCACCTCCGATGCACAGTGATACACAGCAGGGTTTACGTGCAGTCTTAATCTAGATCGCTGTGGCTAGAAGACACATGCCACAGCATGTGCTCTCCTCCTGGCTAGGAGGAGCAGAGAATGACAGCACAGTCCCAAACAAGCAGTAAAGGTTCAAAAAGTGGTTACAGAGTCCCAACCATGTACCTTGAGGGTGGCAAATAAACACCCCCTCCAGCCACTGCTGGCAGGGCTTATCTAACACAGGCAGCGCTGCAAGGGAGCCCACAAACCCAGATTGTCAAATGCCGTTTTGTGAACACCAGCTCATTTTTCAGGCTGATTCACCTTGGGAGAACAGACGACTAATGCCCTCCTGCCTCCAAGCTCATGCACAGCACCGCTCCATCCCTGCGGCACAAGCACCAGGGTCACACCTGCACCCGGTGACAGCACGATCTGCAATCTGCCCAGCTCTGCCAGCTACTTACGGCGCTTCGTACCATCACCATTCTTTGTGCTGTCGGAGACTTGCTGCTTGCGGATGCTGTCCTCGTCTGCTTTGCGATCTCTGCCTGGGCAAGCGCAAATGCGGGCTTCGAAACATCGGCGGCCCAAGACTTGCCCACTGGGAAAAGAAGTGAAAGAGGAAACGTCAGCTGCTGGCTCAGATGGGAGCCAGCAGCATCCCTCAACTTCACACCAGACTATGCACAGACAAACCCAAACCTCCCATTTCCCAGTCAGGATGTCCCAGGTGCCAGGTGTCGGGCAACTCCCACCTGCAAAGATTTGAAAATATCCTATGGCCCCTTGCATCAAACTGTCCCTAAGGATATGCAATGCTGCCCCGAGCAGAAGAGGAGCCAGAAGGCCACCTCTCAAGCAAAGGGCTACACTCATGATGCACTACTTACTCTCTGGTTTCCAGTGTCACAATGATGAGGATCGGGCGACGGTTCATCCCTCCCACGCAGCTACTGTTACACATGAAGTTGTACAAGACTGTTGTGAACTCCGTACCAACCTGGATGAGACAAAGGGGATGTGCAGAATAGATGGCGGATGGAAAGCTCTGCTTTTTCCAGGCTCTCCACTTGTACTCCCACAGCTGTGCTACAATCAGACTAGCATGAAATAGGCCCCACCACAAGGCTTCTTTAAAAGAAATTAAGAGCTCCTGCTCTCAAGGGATAAAGAGAGTGTTTAAAAGCTCATTTCTGACAAAGAGGAAGAAGGGATTCATTGTGATGAGGATGGGGAAAGCACGAGATCCCGACTCCTTTGACTAGGGTTACAACCCCCACACCTTTGTGTGCTGGGGTGCCACCACCCTCAGCCCACAACATACCTGGGGCGGCTCGTAGGGGACCAGCACACTCTGCCTCCCGGTGATGGGGTCTTCTACATACTGGGCATGGCTGTTCCCTTCCACCCTGATCAAGTGGCTGGGAGGTGCAATCTGCCCTGCAAGGGCAAGGAGGCAAAAAACAAGAGACACCGTTCAGCGAAACAAGCTCACACGCAGGGCAGCAAGATCTTCCACCAAGGAAAACCCCTGCACCTGGCCCCAGACGTCTATCAGAGCACACACGTGCCTCCCAGCCCTTAAAGTATCCCTTCTGCCCGCTGACAGACACGAAAAGCAATGCAGACTTTTCTCAAGTTCACCCTGGACACTCGTGAGTAAACTTGGGAAGCCCGTGTTCAAGATCCCAGACTAAGCGAGCCCAAACATCAACTGAATGGCAGCTCACAGCAACTCTTCGAGCAGGTAACTCCATGTGGATTTTCACACCAGCTGAAAGCCTTTCTTTTCCTCCCCCTAACATGTATACAAAGCAAATTCCTTCAAATCTCAGTCCCTACTCTTTTCCCCATCAACTGCCAGCTTTCTTCTGTTCCCTCCCATCAGTCTTGATACTAAGGAGCTAAAAAAGATTCCAAGCAGCAGGAGAAATATGCATTTAATTAACGGTCAGCTTGAAAAATCACGCTTGTTTAGCGCGGCAGCAGAAGGGAACATGGTTGTCTTTGTTTCTAGGCCCCTTTCCAATAATTTAAAAAAAATAGTTTCCTTCCTGCAAATTTTCTTCAGTGTTTCTACAACATACAACTAAATTCTGAGGAGAGAAGCCTGTTATGGGTTCATCCAAAGAATTTGTTTTGTGTTTGAACTGTTCATTTCTTACTCAAAATACAGCATATTTCTAGAGAAATAATTATTTCAGAATAATAATTTCAAGTTTTAGGTTTTTTTCTTTCTTAAAACTCCACCACTGAACCAGGTATCAACCCTCAAAAAATCCAGTACTGTCAGAAAAGCACTTTCTAATATGAAAAACCATTTCAAAAGAACTGTCTCACTCCACTCTGATTTTACACTCCGAAGTCCTTGCTTATTTTTGGGCTTGTCTAGCTGGCTGCATTATAACCAGCAAAGGGAGCAGGATGTCTCAGGAGCCTGGATAACTGACACCAACCGGGTTTTTTTACAGTAGGAGATAAATAATGCACGTAGAATAAAACAGATGCTCATCTGAACTTATGTGAACTTAAGCGTCCAAGGCAAAGTGAAGCCCAGCCCATGAGTTTGCAGAAAACCCCAGGACATTTTTAAAACAGCTGCTACTTCACTAACATGAGGAGAAGCAAGTAAAAGATTAAAACATTAATACTGAACCCATAGTGTTAAACGTACAGGAAGGTTGCCTACAGTTGATGCCTACAGTAACGCATTTAGCGTTATCCTGCTAGAGATAAACAGCCCCTCCGTCTTTGAGGCGTGGATTAAGGACTGGAGATGATATTGCATCCTGTTACTAGATCCCTGTCCCAGTGACATGGAAGCTCATTCCTGAGCACAAGAACAGCTGCTTCTTATTGTGGGAGCAAAAGCGGAGCAGGGAAAGGCTGCCAGAAGGGCACTGCCTGCGATGGGGACAGACATCCATCCAACCTGGGCAGGCGTGAGGTTTATTTTGGTACTTTCTTCCCAAGGACATGCTTGCACAGGGACAGCTAAAGTATAGTATGAAGCTTCCTGCTAAGCACGGGAAATAAAAGACAAGACGCTGCAGGGAGGTCTGCTTCCAGCGGGTTTGCTGTGAAGCTGCTGCCAAATCCCTGCACCGGCCACTTGTCAGCCAAGCAGCTTTGGAGAGGGACTGCCAGCAAAGCACTGCCCTCCTTACCCTCGTTGAACTCCCGGCTCAGCTCGTGGTTCGGGCAGCGTTTGACCACTTCGGTGACATGTTCAGCTTTCTTGTAGACTGGCATAGCCCTGATGACGGCTCCCTGGGGCGGCGGGGTCATCACTTTGATCTGGATGGGACATGTCTTGGCGATCTGGCAGTACAGCTTTTTCAGTTCAGTGGAATACTGGATGGGGAAAAGAGCAAGAGAGAGTCAGGATGTTCAGCTAGAGGTGGAGGCACGCCAGAAGGATGGAGATGGGTTTGCACACATAGCTGAATGCACCAGCTACTGCACGTGCATTGCATTTGTTCACAAAACAGCCACACTTCCAGACAAGCAAAACTTCCAATAAGCAGACTTCCAGGTCTAGGCAAAAACCCTAGACCTTTACTTGTTTTAGAATAGCAGAGTATAACTGTGCAGCTCAGTTTTCCCAAAGGCAAAAATCTTCAGATAAAGAGCACTACTTTTACATGAACAAATAGTCTTTATTTCTCTTGGGCACGTACCCCCTCTTCCAAGGGACACACATTACCCACCTAACAAAGCGGACACTATTCTTTTCACAACACACTGTAATCCTGGAAGCATTGGAAACCACACATAAAGTGTTTCATCCTGTTTTGTAAGAAGCCCTCCTACTTTTGCAGAGGGGTGAAATAAAGACGTGAACCTTGGAATTGAACAGTACTTGAAAGCAAGACCCTGACCAATTTGGGAGTGTACCAAATCTGATGTTTCAGTCATCTTTCAAAAAGCATCTCACACCTCTTGCTGACCACCTCTATAGCAATCTCCACACTTCTAAACTCAAAGCATTATGTCCACGAAAGAGGTAAAAAATAAAGTAGTGAAGAAATTATTATTTTTTTTTTTTAAATAATCAAAGCTCAGAAGAGTTGAACAGCCCAAAGACCAGGTCCGTCGTGGGACCTAGAGCACAACCCAGCACCTGGCTCCCAAAGGGAGGTTGTGACCGTCCCAGGGTGTGCAATGAACACCTGGAGCAGAACAAGATGCTCTTATCCACTGTGCTGATTTGGAGCATATTAGATTGTCTCTTTTAAGATGTTCCCCACTAAAGCAGTTAACACTGGTGCAGCATTTTCCTGAAGTGCGTTCACATCTGGAAACCTTTACTCAGCAAAACATTGAGGCACGTGCTGAAGTTGTTGGTTTCTGTTCAAAAACCCTCACTGAAATAAGGGCATGTGCTTAGCAGGAATGGTTTGCAAGGAAACTCTTATGTGGTTCAGTATAATGTAACCTGAACCCAGTTTTCTGGATGTCCCCCATGAAGGAGACTCTCCAGTCTCCTCTGCTGTACAAGGTTCTTTCAAAATACAGCAGTTTTCATCAGTACCCTACTCCAGAGGCATTCAGTTTTTCTCCCGGTGCTCAGACATTTGCGAGCGCAGAGCTCTCCCAGTAACTCTAACCACGTAACCCACAGGAATTGCTGGCATTTCCCCACTTCCATCTCTTCAGTTCTTGCAGAGAAAGAAAAGTGAAAGCCCCAAGGTGGCTGTTTTCTCAAAAAACATCTCTAGTAGCCGTGGCCAATACGGCCCCGGTCCCAACTGTTTAGAGCACTGACAGGTTCATACAGGTCGAGAGCACAAACGTGGCCATCCACCCTGCCGGGATGGGAAGAGCCGGCGCACGCATGGGTGGGTGGTGGGTAACGTGGCAACAGAAGGATTAGCTAGTGATATTCAGGGATTATTTGCATTTCAAAGTGTACACATGGCTAACATAGGAAAAAACAAAGTTGGGAGAGACACTGGGGAGGAGAGAGGGACTGAAAATAAGCCAAGCCGGTCCCTTCCCTCCTCACTCAACGCCACCCTGCCATATGGCGGAGGAGATGCTACAGGTATTTCAGCTAAGGAAAAAAATTCTTTAAAATGCAAAGGCCAAATTGTGTAATGTATTTTAGGTGCCTGCAGGCTAGAGATTAAACCCACAAAGGATTTACCCAGCCCGCGGAAACGGGGAACATGCCAAACAATTACAAAAAAAAAGTTGCGAAACAGATCTAGATGGTGATTTATATCATACATCTTTTTAACCTGAAATTCCTTATTGTTTTTTAATTAAAAAGCAATTCCTTACTGAAGGTAAGAGTGAGCTCACTATGTTGTCTTTTCATCTCAAGAGGTAGGAAAAGAATCGCTTATATTTGAAAGAGGAAGAAAATTTAGAAAGCATTGTTTCCCTCAACACATCAGTTTGCTAATAGCATTGTGAAGGTTTCAAGGACAGAAAGCCTCAAAAATCTCAAAAAGCCAACTAATTGCTTGGATGCCTTAACATCACTGAAATGTAAAGACATTGGGCACCCAAAGGTGATGGGCCGAAATGAAAGCATAAATATGGAAGTGCGATGGCGCAGGGAGGGCACAGCGCACGCCAGGAACCAACGTGTCTCGTATCTGCAGGCATTCGGAGAATTGAACAAATGGAAGGAGATACACGCCCCTCAGTCATGGATCAGGAGCATTGGTGTTGACTGTAATTTTGTGTATAATATCTTCAAAGACAGAAAGCTGGGGTTACAAGAAGGGAAAAAATATAATCACTGCTTTCAGAAGGACAGGAGAGGTGCCCGACACCAACACGAATACCGAGGCTCCAGGTCAAACAGCGTGGCCCCTCTGCCAGCAGAGGAAGGGATCTGCTCCTCGTCCACCCTTTGGCACCCCAACTATCAGACCCCTTTGGCTACAGTGAGCAAGGAAGGCATCGGACCTGCAGCTTAAATTCAGAAAGCAAACAGCCAAGGGCTAATGGGTTATGATGAACAAGCCTGTGCAAAGAAATATATACATATGTATGTGTCCCCAAAACACAGGAGGGGAGCTCCAGGCTCTGGCCAACACCTTGATCTTGGCATGCCAGAGAAGGAGGGTGACCAGGAGCCCACCTCTGCTTCGGGACATAGTCAGGGCACAGGGAGGCAAGCAGCAGCACCCAGCAGAGGCGGATGAGACAGCAGGAGGGCTGCGCCGCCTTTTTGTCGCCCAACTGCAAGAGGAGTTCAAGCCTCACGGGCACTACACAGGGCTTGGGGCCGTGGCATATCACCATGATTTCATCTACCTCGGGCACAGCCAGCTGCAAGCATGCAATCGCTGAGTGGCCGGTCATTTAACACCCGCGTAAATCTGTCCACAGGGTACCTGCTGTCAGACAGCAAGGGGCTTGAGTTTCCCACCCTGCCAACTTTGCTGCAACCGTGGGTAACCTGACGCCCAGCCATCTATTGGCATAAATATATGCAAACAACTAGGTCATGGTGACTTCATACTGGATCAGTGATAATCGCTATAGCCACAGAACAAGACAGGATATTGTATATAGATTTCAAAGCAAATAAGCATCAGAAAAAAGAACCCTGAGGCAGGAGCTGTCTGTGCATTCAGAGAGCGCCTGCAAGCAAGGGTCGTCCCTCTCGGCACAGGTGCCTCTCCCTAGTGGTCCCCAAACCGCCCCACCTCGCAGAAGGCGGCAATCCCCCTGCCCACCATTTTGCTACGGGAACTGACAGACACTCGCTGTATGAGGGGTAAGATGATGAGACCAGCAATTCCCAGAAATCTAGAGCATGACTATTAATCAACACACTCCTGTTACTTGCTAGTGTAGGAAAATTAAATTAATTAGGAGTAAAAATACGAAAAATGAGCTTGACCCAACCAACAAACCTGTCCTTTAGCGAGATGACAGTAGTCATGATCTAGCAGCAGGAACAAAAGCTGCACCAGCAGCCTGAAGAGCGTGAACACCACTTCTACCAGACATACGGACCAGAAAGTTATTTAAAACAAAAGAGCGGAGCCTGGAGACGTGTTATCCGCTCGAGAGGGAGAGGAAAGAACTTTGGCTCAGACTTTTCTTTGGGGTTTGAGTGCTGCACGTCATGCCCAAATAAGCAGACTTCAAGAGATTGCTAAGAACAACAGTGAATTTAGCTTTTTGCTTAATAATATGTTTTAAAAGGAAAGAAGAAAACATTCCAGCGCCTGCAGCCCTGCCCTCCCCACCTGCCTGTGCAGACATACTGTATTACCCACTCTTGGCACCCTGGCTGGTAATTCAGTATCACAATACACACACGCCAGCTACCATCAAGCAACACCTGTCTGATTTCTCAGCAAGCCCCTTCTCCGGAAGGTGTGTCAACAAAGGGTTTAAAGGAGAAAAGAAACCAAAACAAAACACTTTTCACCTCTCAAATGGAGAGTTTTTGCTAGAAAGGACAGAAGTCTCCTGGAAGTGCTGGGTGCAATACAAGCTGCAATGGATTTTCACTGAGCATTCAATTCCCCTGCAAAAGTCTGATGCAGTGAAATCCCCCAAGCACTACTTTAGAAATCTATCTCTAATACCAGTCTTACCATCTGATCTAGCTGAGGGATTACGGCTCCTAAGTCTTTAAAAGGAGCAGGGTTCAGCCAGCTCTGCGAAAGCTGACGGATGTCAACTTGAAGGTGATCCCAGAGGCTGGCTTATGGTGTGACAGCTCCCTGAGCGCCTTCTGCTCAGATCAACAGGTCTTTCGAATCTTTTGCAAACTTCTTTCAAGAAGTCACGTTTTAGTTCAACTCGGTTAAACACTAGATTCATTTTACTTGACGTTTTCAAAGCTGTCAGTCAGCTGTGCTTTCTCCCCTTCCAAACTAACTCCAAGAAGGGGAAAAAAGAACAGGCTAGAAGAGTGGGAAAGCAACATCTACTTGCACCAAAGAATTTGCAGATGAGAACAAGGAGTTGCAAAGAAATAGAAAATCCCCTGCATAAGGTTTACTCATTTAGGAGAAAACAGGCAGTGGGAAGAAAGGAAGTCATCTACTGAGAATAAAAACTGAGATTTACGCATGCACCTTAAATGTTTTTGCTTTGATGAACAGTGATTTAACTTTTCATTCACAAAAAACTGTTGGGGGCATGGGGGGGGACACCAGATACATGCATGTGCACGTGCACACACGCTCTTAGGAACTGACTTGTACCCAGAGGACACTCAGTGGGGAAGCCCAAGAAGAGCTCTACCAGGAATACTGCGGACATGGACATCTCCTGCCAGATTTAACCTTTAGCTCAGCATAACCTTAACCCCACTGCTTACTAACCGACTTGTTCCAGCTCCAGTTTGAGGTCCTTTATCTCATCAGACTCCA